GACCTCAAAGTTTGTAGTATACTCTGGGGGCGGTTACCCCTTGACCGATTTTTTTTTTCATACAATGCCCCAACGTTGTGTACCCTAACACATGGTGCTGTGTAGCCGAGCACCTAGACACTGTGTTCCCAAGCCCCCAAGCACTGAACAACATAGAGCAGAGCACCACAACAATCAAGTATAATGCCGTAGTGTGCCATGACATAGATTGAGCACCGCAGTGCTAAGTGTTTGAGCACTGCACATGGTTAAACAAAGAGTGGGCCGCCTCAGCACCCCAAACTGACGCCACAGTGCTGTGAGATAGATATGATGATTTTCTTTCTCATTTTCTGAAGGGTTGTATTCCTTGGAGTTTATTTACTTGGCTTTCTCTTGTATGTTCAGTTAGGACAAGTCTGAAAACAGTGCATGTGAGAAAAGAAGCAATGAGAGTCGAGAGAGTGATAGAGAATAGAGATATGAAACGAAATCTTCAGTTTTAAAGGATGAAGATAGTTCCTCCTCCAAGGAATCCTCTTCAGGTATAACCAAGTTATCCACAGGCAGGGAATCAAAGCTATTCACAAGCAAAACTTGAGGGGGCATCAGTGATTTAGTAGGCATAGGAACAGAAGTTGAAGAGGAATCAACCTGAGGAAGGTTAAGATTAGGAAGGAAAGAGTTCTTAACCTGCAAGTTTTCGGACTGGGTGATGAGATTAGAAGTAGGCTGCTGACGGGGAGGAGAGGTAACAGCAGGAAGCTGAATTTCCTGTAGGTCTGAGGGAGGAGCAATGGCAATGTCCGAAGCATTAGGCAAAGCTTCAGGCGGTTTGGAGGAAGCAAACGCAGTGGATTGCAGAATATTGGCCGCAACATGAGAATGAGGTGTGGTATTCCTAGCGCCAGGTTTCCTGCTTTTACTCCGGCCACGGAAAACAGGTTTGGGTGGAAGGGTAGGCTTGGGAGCTGGATTGTTGGGGCATAGAGAAAAAGGATGTATGAGGGATCCACACCCTTCACACCTAACAAGCAACCAGTCATACACGACCTTGAGGTTAATGTCTTCTCCATCAATTTCCATAGGAATTTCTTTCGCTAAAATCGAATTTTTGTCTACTTGAACGCATACCCGAGCAAAGGTAAGCCATGTCCTTTTAGCAGTAAGCGCATCCACATACAGAGGTGTCCCAATAAAACTAGCAATTTTTGAAATACCTGAAGGAGTCCAGAGGGCAAGGGGCAAGTTAAGGATTTTAATCCACAAAGGAATAGAGTCAGCTTCATCCCTCTTAGGTTGAAATTTTGGGTTCCAGCGCTGCAGGATGAAGGGCCTGCCAAGAAGAAATCAAGGGCCACCGGACCATACCATATCATAGTCTTCAACTGCAGTAAACTTCAAAGGAAAAAAATCATCAGCTAAAGAAAGAAGAGAGAGAGAGAGACCCCTTTAAGCTTCCAAGCTTTCTCCATCGACGAAAGCAGGCGTTCGTAATAAGGGCGCGGACCGAGAGAGTATCCCAAAAGAGAGAGATTCCATATAGACTTGCCTTCATTAAGATCCTGACTAACAAAAGAAAGCTTTTTTGCTGGCTGGACATAGGACATCGGCCTTTCGACACGGGGCAACGAAGGCGCAACAAGATTGGTTGCGTATGAGGTGGGAAGGGAAGGAGGAGGAACTCCTAACAAGGAAGAGTCCTTGAGAGGAGGAAAATCCTGAGGGGAGAAGGCCATCACGGCCAGGAGGCCGGAGAGTCTCAGAGAAGAAACAAGAGCCGCCAAGAAGGAGCAAACCCTAAATAGGTTTCTTAGTAGTGGAAAACTTGGCCCATAACCGGATAAATCATATATCATAAGATTGGCACATTGGGAAAGTAAAAAAAAAAAAACTTAAAATAAACATAAAGCATGTGCTGAGCTCCGAACAGGTCATTCAATTGGTACAGCACTACGTGTGTATGATTTGTTTTGTTTGTTTGTTTTTGTTTTCAACTTCACTTAAATATAAGCAGGATCCCTTACCAATGTCAAATTGAATTACAATTCTTATAGTAGGGAACATATCAGTGATAATTAAGGCTTAGTTTTTGTTTTTGTTCTTGTTTTTTTTTTTTTTTTATTAATTTATTTGTTTAGTGCTTTTTTTAATTATTAACAAAATACTAAAAAAATTTAAAAAATACTCAAAATAATTTAGAGGTTTTTTTTAGTACTTTTAAACCCCCAATGAGGATTTACATACATTCCACTTGATTTGTTGTTATTTATATATCCAACACTCAAAATTTTAATATTATATTTCTATCACTCATATAAAATTTTAATATCAAATATATCACTTATATATTTCATCCTTACCACTCATACCATCCTATAAATTTTAATATTTCATTCCACGCATCCATATTTGTTCTATGTGTGGCAAACATGAAATATTAAAGTTTTAAGTATTTGATATTTAAATAGCATGAAATAAAGTGGTATGTATGTAAATCTTCTCTTTTAATTATCGTAATTGGTCGTCACTACTCATCAGCACCACGACTAGTGACCACAGATGCTATCATCACCTTGCTCGATGTCTCTGTTGCACCGACATCATTGAGACCATCTCATAAATCTACTTATTAGATAATAAAAAAATAATATATTTTAAATATATCAAATAAATTATCTAATGTCAAAAATATAAATAAAATAAATTAAAAAACAAAATTTTAAAAATAATCTCAAAATGCCCCTTAGTTTTGCTCTGCTTCTACTTTTTACCTCAAAATAATTTTATTTTATGGAAAATAATATAAATATCATAATTGATTGCTTAATGAAACACTAATTTACATAGCACCTCATACTTAATGTAAAATTATATTGTACTTATTTCATATAGTACACCAAAATCATAATTACCAGGAGATAATATTTCTTGCGGATACCAGATAGAGAGAACCGTTAAGATTTACTGGGCTTTTGTAAATATTGAGCAAAATGGTAGCAAATATGTATTCATAATTATACTTTTGTTGTCATTTTGCTGATTATTTGTAAAAGCGCACCAAAAAGAATAGCTTCCCTAAAGCACTTGAATATTTGCTGTCATTTTGCTGCACTTTTGCAAATAATCAGCAAAATTACAACAAAAATGTAATTATGAATGCATATTTGATACTCTTTTGCTGAGTATTTATCCATCCGGTCTTCACACAGCATGATTTGCAGAGTCATCTTCCTGAGCCTAAAAATAGACAACTAGAAACAGTTGCCATTTATGGACATCCCAAGTACTGAACTCCTTAAGCCAACATTTGGAACATCAACAAATAAATATACAGAACTCGTAGAACAAAATGACAAACCCATCAAAATCAGCAACGCGCCAAACAAAATCATCGGCAAGTTTTAACACAACAATTCTCTTCTTATTAGTAATTGAACAATTAAATTACATCTTAGAATCAAGCTCTTCCTCAACATCTCTCTACATTATTTCGCATTTGCATGAAGAAAGAGGAAACCTGTAACATTAAAACATGTACAGAGTACAGAAAAATGAACAAAAAGAAGATCTAATCACACATAATCACAGACAAATATGCTTAAACTAGACTAGATCAGTTTCTTGGAAATACACCCAAAAGCTTACCTTTGGCCAAGAGCTCCGAGAGCTTCTTGGCGCCTTCCACCTCCATACTCTCAAGCCATGGCAACAAGCCACGAGCACCAGAGGTCACCATTAGCTTCCTGCAACGCCTGCTCTGTGCCACGGCGAGCAAGACTGTGACTATGTGCTTCTTCTCCACAGAGGAGTTGAGGAGCAGGATGAGATTGAGAATTCCCTTCTCATCCTTCCTCATCAATCTCCTGCAAACTGAAAATGTCATCATTGAGGCTAAAGCTTTCACCGCCGCCTCCTTTTCCTCTGCCCCCTTAGCTTCCAACATCCTAACAATCTTCGGCATAGCGTACTCTACTCCTTCTTTGTTCGTGCAGAAGAGGGTTAGATCAGAAACAGCTCTGATTGCTTCTATTCTGGTTCCGGCGGATGAGCTATCCAGTGCTCGGATTATCCGTGGGAGGAATCCGGAAGAGAGAATGATTTCTGAAAAAACACTTGAAGATGATAGGTTGCGAAGCAGGCTAATGGCAGGCCGGAGGTCTCGGTTGTCGTGGGCGGGGCTGTCCCAGTAATCTCTGATACAATCCAGAACGCCCTGTTGTAAAATAGTGAGCTTTATAGTCTGGTTATCTTCCCCTGTGGTCAAATTGGATAAGCAAAAGATGGAATTTTCCCGAGCTTGAATTGTTCCTGATTGAAGAACTCTGACAAAAACGGGGACGGCGTTTTCCTCGATCAGCTTCTCCCGCAGCTCCAGAACGGCGGCGAGGTTCTTCAGGACGCCGGCAGCGGCGGCCTGGGCTGGAGGAGTGCCGGAGCGGCAGGTTTCGAGAAGAATAGAGATTGTACCGTTTGTGCCGACGGTCATAGCAATGTCTTTCTGGATGGTTAAAGCTTGGAGAGCGAAGCAGGCCTTCTCTTTCGTGGATCCTACACCGTCGGGCTCGATAAGAACGCGAGAGAGGTGGCTAACGAGAAACGCGGCCTCGGAGGCGAGCAGATGGCGGCAGCTCTCCAATGAGGAAACCCTAGCAATCACCGCCACGGCTTTCTCCCTGACTTCAGGATGGGAAAGTGAGGCGAAATCGAGGAGCCGAACGAGCGCTGGAACCAAGCCCTGTGCTGCGGCAATAATCACGTTCTTGTCGTCTCCATTGAGAATTGACATCAGCGAATCGAGCGCCGAAATCCGTGACGCCACGGTTCCGATCTGTAAACGAATGATAACAGATTGGGCTTCGGCGCGCAAGGTTTCACGGCGGGAGGAGGAGGAAGGAGGTGATAAGGGATCGAGAAGGGCGCCGGAGCGGAGAAGAAAGTCGGCGTCTGCGGCGAGCTGGTCGAGAGAAGCTGCGGCGGCTGCGAGCTCGCTCTGAGTTTGGAGTCGGCCGGCGGGTGGGTCGGGGTTGCGGCACTGGTTGGAGATAGAAAGGGTGAGGGCGAGCGTTTGGGAGAGGAAGCAGAGGAAGTCGTCAGAGAGTTCGTTGGCTGGGAAACCGGCGATTTCGTCGACGGCGGGGCGAAGGCGACCGAGCGTGGCGGAGACGGCGGCCCATCGGCCTAGGAAAGAGCGTACAGCAGGGATTGATTCTGAGAGGGAAGAGAGGAGGTGGCGGCACTCTTCAAGGTGTTGACTTTGATGGTTTTCCGGCGGTTTCATGGCGATAAGAGTGGAGGGGACCAAGGCGAAGGAGGAAGATAAAGGATTAATGAGTAGCAGTAGCTGGTACAGAAAGGCAGCCTCTTGGAAATAATAGAATTACATTTCTTGTTTTGGGTTAATTTAAGGTGTTCAAGATTTTTACATTCTCATGCTTCCGAACTGTTTCTAGCTACAGCTAAATTTTCATAAAATTTCATGAAAGAAGCAGGTAGGTAGTTCACCCATTGATGACTGATCATAAATATATTTTTAATGATAAAATGATTAGCAAATAATTTTTACCGTTCAGGTGCAGGGGATAATCTGATTAATCACTACTTTTGATTAAATTTTTTTTAAAAAAAAAAACTTTGATTGATTGAACGGCCAAGAACTGTTTTTTTCTAAATTATTTAAACAATTTTTAGTTAAAAATTTTTAATTTTGTGCTAAAAAACTATTTTAACAAGAAATAAAAAAGTGCCTAAGACTAAGTCTAGATAATTCTAATAGAAAATATTTTGCTACTAGAAAATTCAAAATATATTTTTGAAATGGTTGGATAATTGATGCATGACATATGTTACATGTTAAATATCCTCTAGCCTCAAGGCTTTCTTTAGACTCTATTTTTGAAAAAACTTACTTTGTGCAGACACTAAATATCATCGTGAGACTAATTAGAATGTGTAATGTCACCTCTTCATTCGGTACCATGGTTCGGTGCTGCTTAGTACCGCTGACGTGATGTACTTTGGCTGGTCTCTACACGAAGTTTTGCATCAGATTTTCGCACATAATATTCTCTCTATTTTTGTCAACATAATTATTATGTGCTAGAAAATTCCCGAGCAAAGAGAGAGAGAGCAACCTAATTGTGTATAAGAAACTAGTATATAAATTAATTAATTAACAGAGCACATTAAATACCAAATGTTTTAAGAGAAAAAAATCATGGGCCTCACCCACTTGAAATAATTCTACTATATGAGCTTTAATTACAAAAGTTCTTTGTCCTTTAATTTGGTGACGTAGAGATTACAAGAGTATTGGGAGCTAGTAGAAAAATATCGCATAATCAGTATATGATAAAAAGCATTCGAACGATTGTGGCTAGGTGATAATGGTCGACAAAGTTGGTCACGCAACTACAACCTAACAACCGTGATTGGGCGGCGACAGTTTGGGGACAACAATCCAACGATGGTAATAGGTAGTTGGTCGGCTGTGATCTGACAATAACAATATAGCGGCACTAGTCCAATAACAATGGTGGTCATATTTTTTTTTATTTAGAAATATTTGTATTTTTGGTATTTAGCTTTTTTTCAACATTCAAGATCATTCAAATAAAGTTACAATCACATCAATTTCAATACTTGGTGACATTAGTGGTGTCAATATTTGGAACTTTTATTTGGTCCGGTCACAGGACGTAGCTCTATGTTCGGCCGCCACTAGAATCGTGCCACGCGTTCTCACTATTTACCGCGCGCCCCGACAACCCGACCAGGAACGGACCCAGGATGGCTCGGTATTTCTCGATTTTGCTAGGTATTTCTCGATTTTGCTCGGCAATAACCAATACCGAGCAAATACCGAGTTGTACCGAGTTTTTCTAGAAAAACTCGCTACAACTCGGTATTGCTCGGTACTGATCTTCACAGAGCGGTATTTCTCGTTATTGCCAAGCAATACTGACGCAGGAGCATCCATAAATATAGGTGTAGCTCTATTTCTTGTGTAGCCTATTATGTGACTACCTGAAGTCTATAAATATAGGCTAATGTCTTGTAATAAGGATAGATTTTGAGATATGAATATGATGTGAGTTTAGTCTCATGTGATTCTTGTATCCTAAGAGTGATTCTTAGGTGGTGGATCTTTCCTCCAAGAAGTTCTTGGAGCGGTGTCCGGCGACCATCACCGGATTGTCGACGTGGATTTGTCGAGCCCCCTACCTGGCTGGTGTCATTTGGTATCAGAGCCGGCAAGTTGCTGGTGTTCTTGTTTGTCCCCGTGTCACCTTCGCTGCCTGTTTCATTTGGTGTCATTTGGTACCGGAGGCAGGAGAAGCATGAGGCGGTTGATCCGCGGGAAGTGTGCGCGAGAAGCTAGTTCAGATGCTTGAAGACGGAGGCGTAGTGTTTGCAAGGAAGATTGCTCGTCTGAGGGTCGGACGGCTTTGGCTGTTTGACGTGGACGGCTTGCGGGGAACGGAGGAGATCTTGGCCGGATGCCACGCGGCCTGGTGTCGCGATCGGAGGAGTTCTTGGCCGGGTTCGCTGGTTGAGCGAGGGGACCGAGTGCTGAGCTGGAAGGCGTGCAGGAGCAATTGGGAGTTAGACAAAGAATGCTCATATACAAATTGCATCAGATTAATGTTTTGTCTTGTCCTTGATCTGACGTTCTTGGATTTCTCCAAAATATTGTGAGGAGAGGAAGGAACGGAGGTGTCGTGGGATCCGGGATTCTGCAACATCACTACCGAAGCTTCTTCTTGATCTTTTAATTTCTTTCAGTCGCCTATTTCTATATTTCTGACGACAATAGGAAAATTTTAAGCAAGTTTGGCGCCAGAAGATGTCACCTCGACGAAATCATGAAAGACCACTACAAGAAGCAGATATCGAAGATCTCCTACAAGAAATCGCCCGACTCAAACTAAGATTGTCAAGGATTGAACGAAGATCCTTACAAACTGATGACGACGACGAGGGCATTTTAGATGATCAAATCTCATCCACCCCACCCTCGATCTAGTTTAGCTTCGAAGAAATTGAAGATCCATTGCTGAAATCGCCGTCTTTGCCTTTCTTTGATGAACTCGTATATGACGTGTATGAGGATGACATGTTCGATGGAGTTCTTTATCTGGATCAACCATATGATAAAGATGAAAAGAGCAAGCCAATTCATGAGGATATTGCTGAAAAGAATAATGGTGGAGTCGACCGAAGTGTCAAATACAGTGGAAATGTTGATACCATAATTTCTGCATTTGAAAGTGTTCATGATGGATGGGTTGTTATTGAACTCAATGAAGGAGACCATGTTCTTCGTATCTTCACAGGAAAATGCAAGGAAAATGTGCTTTCATTTGATTGGTCTGGCAGTTGTTGGTCTTTGGGCGGCAAGAGGTGCAAGAATTTGAATACAAAGCAAGGGTATTTCATTTGATTATGCTACCTTTAAGAAATTGAAGATTGGTAGGAAACTTGACACCGGGTGGAAATATCCATACTGATTTAGCCAACCAAACCCACCTCCTTATGGTGGCCAACCAGATCTCTTTCTACGAGCTCAAAGTTCCCTCCTACCCCGGTAGAATGACGCAGGAGCGTCCATATAATAAAATTGTATTTTCTTATTAGTAATTGGTGTAGCTCTATTTCTTGTGTAGCCTATTATGTGACTACCTGAAGTCTATAAATATAGGCTAATGTCTTGTAATAAGGATAGATTTTGAGATATGAATATGATGTGAGTTTAGTCTCATTTGTTTCTTGTATCATAAGAGTGATTCTTAGGTGGTGGATCTTTCCTCCAAGAAGTTCTTGGAGCGGTGTCCGGCGACCGTCACCGGATTGTCGACGTGGATTCGTCGAGCCCCCTACCTGACCAGTGTCAAATACCAAGAAATACCGAGCAAATACCGAGTAATACCTCGCAATACGCGAACATAGCATTCCCGTGTTCCGATCCGGGTTAAGTCGTCGGGCCGTGCGGTAAAGAGTAAGAGCACGTGGCGACATGTTATTGGCGGCCGAACGTAGCTCTACGTCCGGTCAGAGGAAGTAATAATTGTTCCAATATTTGATACGATCCGAAAATCCGATCCAAAATTTTTGAGTTCAGGTCAACCTGAACCTGAACATGATCAAGTTCGGGATAGGGATTTCGACCCGTTTGTAAAATCGGGCCGGGTTCGGGTTGACCAGGAAATCCGAAATCAATCAGGTTTGACCCGTTTTTAATTAATTTAGGAGGGTTTTAAAAGATTGTTATGAAATAAATAAATGTTATTTCAAAAAAATAATAAACCATGTTGCCCAAACTAAATTATGCTTGGTTTATTTTAAATTGATTGAAGTAAATCTTATCTTAATTTGATTTATGTTTAAATAAATCGAATTAAATAAAAAAATTAGTAAAACATATCCGAAGCGGGTCATGATTGGGTCCGAAAACGGGTTGGGTCGAACAGTGTCGGGTCAGTTTCAGATTCGACCCGAACCTGACCGTGACTCGATTTTGACAGCCCTAGTGATCATCACATGTGAGATGATATATATGTTGATCACTTTATTACTTATTTGATCATATACTCCTGCACTTATATCCTTGATGAAACAACCACATAATGCTAACCCTTAGAGATCATAAGGCTTAGCAACATTTAGAATCACGTTTTGAAGGAAAACATGCAGATTAATATCCATTACATTAAGTATTGTGTCGTACATAACCATAAGTTGTTGTAAATAATCAAAATTTTGACCCACTTGGGTGTGGTGACATTTCAAAAATTTATTCGTTTATATCATTCGTTTCTTCATATTTTATTCGTCATGGTGACTTTTCAATTCGTTGTCTCCCTAATTTTATGTAATTTTATCTCTTAGATCATCTCCAACCGAAAAACCCATTTTCCACTCCAAAATACAGTAAAACCTCAAAATACGGTAATTCGTCTTGAATCGAACTTCATTTCGCCCGCTTCTTCATCTCGATGCCAAAGGTACCCGAACACAAAGAAAAAATAGCGTGTGTGAACAGTGTGACGCCAATCACTGTTCATTCCCGGAGAATAACGGGCGAAAACTCGTTTGGTTGGATTGTTTGGCGGATGGCAATCACATGTATGTCGTTCGATTGTGGATGGTCTTAGACTTCATTTGAGATAGTTTTCTTACTATTTTTAAAGTAATTTTTTAATAAAAAAATCCTTGGACTGAAAATTTTTTAAACTAGAAAACAGTAAAAAGGCTATTCCAAAGGAATCCTTATTCTCACGCTCTTTGCAATTTTTTGAAGATAAATTCAAATATTATACCAAACATAAAAAATAAAAAGTTATGTGTGCTTTTGAATTAGTTTTTTTTTTTTCTTTTTTCAAGAAC